ATTATCGATAAATATGTTCTTTAAGATCCCAATTTTTGAGTCCTTTTATGATTACAAACATTTAAACCTATAAGATCATGTTTTTTAAAAAACAAAATATGATTTTCCTAAGATTCAATGGTTCTTTAAAATTGTTATAAATATTAAAGAATTCCAAATTTTTCGCAGTCTTACAGGGTAAGTGACTGCTTGATGGGCAAAGGGTTTTCTTTTGGGCTGTGGCAGCACTTCGTTTGTTACTTAAAAGCTTCGTAATTTGATTGAATTTGCGTTGATTAAGCGTATTTAGCTGTTGGCAAATTATGAATGTGTTTAATTGCAAACTCACTTAATTGTCTCGTGGGTAGGAGAACTCAGGCGAAAGACGGAGATCGGAAAGAGCTTCTCTGGGTTTATTATGGTTTCGGATTAACAGAATTAGCCTGTGTACAAATGCATCTACGTATGTACAAGGCGACTTCTTGTGTCCCCTAATACCACCCCCCCGCCCCCCCCCCCCCAAGCCCCAAGGTTGGGGCGTGCTTAATGCGGTCGAGATCCCCAACTTGACTCTGATTATGCAAATGCTGTAAATGAGCAAAGAGTGCCGGCAGAGGCAACTCAATTTGTGTGCGGCCTGCAAATTAATTCAGCAAAATATGATGCAGCAAAAGGAAAACAAAGTTCGCAACTAAAGTTCGATGTGCAGTCAAATCATGAAGTGCCCAGCCTGTCCAACGCGCTTCCCAGGTAGATGGCAAATTAATCCATTACTAGGCCGCCAAGTGGACCGTAAATTGTAGTTTACGCTGACCCATCAGAGCCACATCACTCACCTCGATTCGTAGGCCATAAACTTGGCCAGTCATGGGCAAAAGCGTGCCAGCCAAACGGAAGAAAAGTGCGGAAAAAACGCAGAAAAGTGTTTGACTTGAATGAAGAAATACGCTCGACCAGCTATGAACATGCGTCAACTTTGTCAGCATTACCCACAGCAACACATTAGCACCAGCTGGAGAGGCACTCGAAAAAAAAATCTAACGAGGAACAAAAAAAAAGCAATTAATATAATTCAATAACCTATAAATCGATTTTATTGGATAACTCTGATACCATATCATCTCTGGTAGAAAACAACAAAATAATGAATCATACAACCACTCTTTTTTTAGCATTTTCTAAGTTTGTAGAATTTAACCAAAATTATACTTAAAACAACCCATTAAATATATAATTATTTCTAAAACTTCTTATTAAAAACCAATATATTTATTGCTATAAAGTTTTAAACACAACCTCAACTTAAAGAAGATATAATCTAATTTATGGTCCTTTAAGACCATATGATATTTAGTTAATGCCTTATGGAACTGGCATGATATTTGAATAACAAGTTATGTCATGATTTAATATAAAAATTACAAGAGTTTGACTTTTCTCTAGTTACGATGGTTTTTTAAGAAAAAACAAGGAAGAACCTATAGTCGATACCTCGACTATCAGATACCCGTTACTCAGCTAAATGAGATATGCAAGCAAAGCGAGATTAAAATGCGCCACCTACCGCGGTATACAGATTTAAGCGTTATCGTTAAGTCGTGGCAAATTTTTTGGACCAATCGATAGGTATCGACGAGACCAATACATTTCAGTTAATTTTTATCTAGCATGAAATTGTGGCGACACAGGTTTCGCGGTTTGTGGCGTAAAGTGGCAAACTTTTTTTGGTCAATCGATAGGTATTGATGAGAACAATACATTTCAGTTAAAATTTTATTCTAGCATCAAAACTGTAGAGCCACAGTTTTGGGCGGTTTGTGGGCGTTAGAGTGGGCGTGGCACTGTGCTGAAACAAACTTGCGCTGCGTAAGAAGCTCAGGAATCTGCACGCCAAATCTCAATAGCCTAGCTCCCATAGTTTCCGAGATCTCAGCGTTCATCCGGACAGACGGACATGGCTAGATCGACTCGCTAGTGATCCTGATCAAGAATATATATACTTTGTGGGTCGGAAACGCTTCCTTCTGCCTGTTACATACTTTCCGACGAATCTAGTATACCTTTTACTCTACGAGTAACGGGTATAACAGATAGTTATTCAAAAATCAGAAAGTATTCATAGGCCTTTACGATGATGATTAAAATTCGATATTTTTTAAAATAGTGCAGTATCCATTGACTTAGTTAAGTTTTTTTTTTAAATTAATTTTTTTTTAGCAAGTATAATTTTGCGTGTGCCTGCACAGCAGTGGCGACACTTGTACCGCTGCCCCGGCGAGCGGGCGGCTTTCTCCTCCCGGCCTGGCCATAAAAAACGGTCACATTATGGCAAACTAGGCCGGCCAGTGACCGCAGCGGCACTTAATGGTCTGCGGGCAGCTCATTAAAATGTCAGACAGCGTGAAGTAATTACGATACTCTGCAAGTTTGCACTTGTTAGAGGGATACCCATCCGCGTGCCCACCCCCGCAGGAATCCCCACCAGAATCCATTGAGTTGCTCATCGTGTTTCATGACTTTGGTTTATGTGTTTCCTTTTTTTCCCTTTCCTTCTTTGTTGCAGGCGCAAGGACAGCAGTGCTCTTCAACGCTCGGCCAGCATCGACTCCTTTGCCGAGATTGTGTTTAGTGAGTCGCCACGCCCCTCGCTGGCCGTCACGGGACCAGGTGGCACCTCCTCCTCCGGCGGCCCCTCGCCATTCAGCAAACGTCCTTCGGCCAGCAGCCTGTACTCCACCTCGACGCCCAGCTCCTTTGGTTCGCAGGCGCAGACCCAGCTGAATGTCAATTACGGTGACTCGCCAGCCGGATCCGGATCGGCGGGTGGACCGGGCTCGGGTCACCATGGAGCTTCTGGTGGCGGCAACGGGGCAGCAGTGCCAGCAGCAGCCGCGGGAAAGCATGCTCAGCCCCTCCTCCACGCGCCGCTCCAAGCTGACCAGAATCATAAACGGTGAGTGCGGAAAATCGGATGCGGAATCCACAATATCTACTTTGTTGCTAGGCGATGCGTGCCATATAGTTGGTTAGAGTTGGGAATATCTTTTGGTATTCGCTTATAAGCCTTTACCCTTAAAACTCGTCTAATCTCCACCAATAACTCAACATATTTACACTTAACATACATTCAACTTAAACAAAGGTTTTATATTAATCAATACTCAAAATTTATTACTTACCTTCATTTTAATTAAAACGGGTAACATTTGAAGGGAAAACTCCCTATACCTTAAGTGCTAAGACCCATAATGACCCATAAAATTTGTAGGCACTCTAATTAATAACCAAAGTTATGATCAATAATACAAAACATGATTAATAATGACTTAAATGAATATATTGCGCAGTAATGAGATATAGGGATTGGATATATATATAGATGCCTTTGTTCTTTGTGATATACTTATCAAGGTATGAGAAATAAGCCCATATAAAGTGACGATTCGTCTATAATAATCATGTACGTTACATAAAAGAGGATTCCCCTTCATAGATAAAGTAATATCCATTAAAAAACACTGAGAAATCGTGATTGCTATAATATACTATAGGAATTGACTTATAATGTACCTTACCCATCACTGTCGAGTTGGGAAGTGAACTTCCTGACCAGATGGGGAAATGGAAGTGGTCGGCAAGAGCTCATCGTTCTAGTCATCGGTGGCTTATTTATTTCGCTGCAGCCGGCTGATTGAAATTCAAATGCGCACTTGAGTTTTCCGGATGGAAAGCCGGGCAGGCGCGGTATTAAATCGATTGCCACTTGGGCCAAGTGCTCGAAGCTCAAAGTCTAAGGGATTGGAAATCAGAGAGAGAGGCGTATAAATCAGAAAATCAATTTAATGCAACGAACTTGAGAATCTGCACAAACTTTTGTTTAAGGTGAAACACTTAGCATAGCCGTCGATCAAAACCAACTTTTAAGGCCTTAAAACACCCAACAACATCTAAAGGTGAAAACTTGTGCTTCGGTGCTTCGTGATTCAATCGGCTGGAATAGTTACTAGAGTAAAACCAAAAGTTGTTGAAAACGCTCAAGCGGCTTCCTTTTAACAAAACTTCATGACCAAACTTTTGCTGGAAATCCACTTGAAAGCCTATCAGAGTGAAAGGGAAGAGAGAAGAACCGGAACAAGTCTACGATTAAGACAAATCACAGTAAACAGTGAAGATTATTATTACATTTGGAAAAATAGTTAGGATTTCACTATTTTTTTAAGTTTTATATAAAGTACTAATAGAAAATTAATATTAATTTTAGAGCCATTGATTTTGCATAAATTTTATATATTCACTTTAAATATTGATATTTTAATGTGTTAATTTTTTCTGTGTAATTATACATGTAGACTTCTCTGAGAAAATGCTTGTGATAAATAAATTAATAAAGCCGGGCTTCCTCTTCCAGCCTCCTCGCTACGATAGCGCAAAAATCGACTTTCTGAGAGAGTGATCTATTCTCTCCCACTCACTATCTGTCCCGCTTTATCGCTGCGCCCAGCAGAGGAGCTTCCAAGTTGCAACGCCACAGAGAGTGACGAACTTTCAGTGTTGGCAACTTGTCTTTAATCTCGCAGACTTCATTTGTTTTTATATAAAAATTAAAAAGTGATTCAGAAATTATCTTAACATTTTTAAAAATTTTTAAGTTTCTTAAATTATTAAAAAATTCAGTGTTTTTTTAGAAGTATAGAAAATCTTTGGTGATATCATAGTTGCTTTTTTATGTTAGAAGCTCAACTTTAAATGTGATCAAAACGGATATATTACAATCCATTTTCTAAACATTAAAAAATAGCTACACTAGCTAGATTTTTAATACCTTACCGCTATAAATAGCCTTTTCTTGGCAACACTGCTACTAACTGTGAAGCGTTGACCATTGGCGGCCAACGCCAACGCTAGCGTCGACGCCGACTGCGACTGCGACGCCAACGCCGGCAGACAACAACGGTAGTTCCCCACGATGGCGATCGCAGGCGCAACAACTAACTTCGTTTCTCTCAGCCAGCGTTTCATTCAACGATCGTCTTTTGAGCGGAGAGCGCACTGCTCGTCGGCGTCGCGAATAAGAAATCCCCTTTCGGTGGTTAATGTTTTGAAAAGCCAAGAGATCCAATTGGTGAATCCGCATCCACTGGATGATTATTATATTTCCTTGAAAGTGCTGAATAAGATCCCGAAATAGTGGCAAATTTGTGAAAATTGCGCAAATGAAAAAACGCGTCTCTTGGCGTTTTGTTTCTGCTTCGCTTGCTGCGCCTGCGTGTGTGTGAGTGTACGTATACGCTGCTACCTGTTTGAGCCTGCCCTGTGTGAGTGTGCGACAGAGAGGGAGAGAGAGAGAAAGATCACCATGTTGGTGTTACCTGCTCGAAAAAAAAGAGAGAGCCAAAAAGAGAGTGTGTGTGCGTGCCGCTGCTTAAGAAGTGTCAAAAAACTAAAGGCGTCGCTTTCGTTAAAAAAAGTAACGTAAAACCGAAAACAGCATTTAAAAAACACAGTAAATACCTCGGGCAAAGAGAAATTTGTGATGTGTGTTTATTTGCAATGCTAATTAAATATTACGTGCCAGTAAAAACTGCAATTTGCTGGAAGACAGTTGGGCTCTAACGGTAATTGGATTGCATGTCCAACTTTTGTGGGAGCCGCAACAACAATTGCTCCGGCGTAAGAAAGAGAGGGGGCAGCGAAAGTGAACTTTTGCTTTTGCGCCAGAGAGGGACGGGAGAGAGAGGAGGGTGAGAGTAATTTACTCACGTGTCTATCAAACTGTCTCCCTGTTGATGCGTCTTCTTCTTCACTGCACGCGCCCCCTCCCCCCTCTTTTTTGATGCAACATAATTATGTACACAGGAAGAAATTTGACTGCTTTATCGATCAATTTGGTGACAAAATCATATACAATAAATGGAGTGACAACTCCTACTCGATAATAATAAACAAAAATGCAACAAAAACAAATAACAATTCAATGTTAATTAATTTGTTAAGACTTGTAATAAAAAACACAATGTTTGCCAAATGTAGAATCTTGTCTAAAATGATAAACTCAACACTTCATCAGCTTTTCTTTCTGTGTGCCTCTCTCTCGCTCACACCCACACAGCCGCAAGAAACTGCAACTGTAAAAAGCTTTTCGCAAGCCGACTGATCTTTGTTGTTGTCTCATTTGTTGTGTTGTTTTCACAGTCGACGTTTTCATTAAAGTGGTTTGTGCTGCAATTTTAAATACGCTCCGCGCACAATGAACAGGTAAGCTCACGCACACGTACATACTTCACCTTTAGCACACACACACACACAACCCAAGAAGACACACACTTTTACACAAAGGCAGCCTCTTACTTTGTTGTTGTTTTCCGAGGGTGGTGATGGGGGGAGGGGTAAAAATATGCAACGACATGAAAAACTTGAACTATTGCAACATTTTTGCGTTGTCTTGGCTTTTGTTAACCAAGGTTTATTCACACCGCAGGAAAGTCAAAGTTGTCGGCGTCTGAAAAGGAAAATGTTTCATCTGTTAGTCGGAAAAACCCGCCACCGTAAAAATAAAATCTCTTTTCAGCTAAGTTTTTCCTCGTTTTCCACTGCTTTTCCCAATGCACGTTGTGCCTTGCGGTTTGTTTACGAACTGCAGTTTCTGCCGTTGACAGCTGCAATTTTGGCTCAACACGCAATTTTCCTAGTCCTACCAAGTTCCCATTTTCCACCCACTTTGCAGCCAATTCAAGCTGAAGTTCACGCTGACCATTAATATTTCAACGGTTGTTTTTAGCCGTTGTTTCTATCTCGGTTCGTTTGGCAAAACAAACCCGTAAAGACCCAAACGTTTCCGCCCATAAAGTTCAACAGACGTATGCGCCTCTTATTTTTGGTTTTTCGTTTACCCATAAAATAATAAAAAATAGTGTACAACGAAAGTTAGTGGCTTTTAAGCATGGAAAAATCGTTTTTCTGGGTCTTTGCACAGAGGAAAATGTTTATAATATATAAAATCAATTAATGATTATTAAAATTCTATGATCTAATGATTACTAAAATGTATGTGTTACATAAAAATTATTTATTGAGAAATTTAAGCCCTATAGCCAAAAAAGTACAAGTGGGATAGCATTTTTCCATAGTGTAGTTAAGTTCTGAGAACCACCGTCACCTGAAAGAGGATTTTTGAGGGTTTGGGAAGGTGTACCGACCCGAAGCACTTAAGAACGCCCCTCAGGCCAAAGTTTGTATTTGCGTTTTCTATTCTATTTATTTTGAGTTGTGCACTTATTAAAAAGTTTTAAATGTTTGATTAAAAAAGAATTCATCGCAAAATTTGTTGTGGCACATTGCTGGCAACTTTTACCAATTCCTTAAGTTTGTTTACTTTTGGCCCCCCTGCTCTACGTATTCCACCACCCATCTTATAGTTATCGCATTTGTTGGTTTTGGCAGCTCAAAAACTTGCGCGGCTCATGGCTGAAAAGCAAACATAAGCAACAGAACAACAAGCCCAGGCGAAGATATCAGTTGTCGTCGATGTGTATTGTATAATATGTCTGCAGATAAGGTTTAGACTCCAAGCAAACCCCGTAGGTGTGTTCCCAATGATTAAGGTAGAATGTGTGATCCGAAGCGCTGGACATTGTTGGCCTTTTTCTAAAGTAGGGAATAGCGTGACTTGTGTGGTAACGAAATTTGAATAAGAACGGCTTTTATAGCGCTCGATTTCAACGAACAAAAGGAAGCTCTGTGAGCTGCCTAATTCGTCGTATAACAAGTCTCAATTTTCAAGCAGTTATGCATTAGCAGTTTTCTACGGCTTTCATTCAATGCCTTCATTATAGCACCGGATCCAGAACGACCCCGCCCACGCCTGACTCATTTAGTTCCAAGAAACGCTAATTTATTGAATCTCTGCTTCGCTGCCTGTAATAGGAGCAACTCTTTAAAGGCCTTCGCATCGATTTTCGAATTTCGAATAACGCGACCAACGAGTCATGCAAATTGTTAGCTAAAATGGTCTTCAGTCAGCTCAGTCCCCCAAGAATAACCCGGCTGACCTTAGTAGCTTCTCCAGTTACCTAAAGCTATGTCTATAGCTATTCCCCCGTTCCATTTTCTATGATCGGAGTGGGGCTGTTCTCATGGAAATCGCTTTACAAAGCAGATAAGCAAAGTGAAATCAATCAAAAGACTTTTATATCAAACAATATAAATGAAATGCTTGCCGTTGACGTTGTAGCTGTGATTCCGAACATATCTTCGACGGCTGAATTGAAGTTGCGTTTGTCACGTTTGTCAAAGAACGCAATGAGCACGTAGAACCCACACGGCGAGGCCCAATCCGAATCCCAATCCAAAACACGGCACCCGGGCGGATATCCAGCGTTCGTAGATACAGATACACATAAGAGAATGCAAATGAATGGCTGTGGGCTATGGGATATGGGCGGTACATATGTCAAATGCTTTCTAGCTGCCGCAGAGAAAAACTTGTGCGACTTTTGAACTTAATGCCCTCAAAGGTCACACGAACAGGCAGTGGGGCACGCAATTGTGGTGGTGAGTGACCCAAATGTGTGGCCGGAGCTCGGAGCTGTCTTTCAGGGCAAACTTGGTTTTCTAAGGAAATTGGTACAAAGAGAACAATTCTAGGAAGTTCAAAGAAAGGCAATGTAATTTTTATAGGAAGGTAATGAAAGATTTTTAAAAACATGTTAATAACTTACAAAACTAGGAGAAAAAGCATCTTCTGTTAGAAAAATGTATAGTTTTCACTTCTAGGGTAATGTTTTTTTTTTTTAGATATTACAAGTAACAAAAGAGCAGCTTAAAGGGCACCCCTTTTTACTCACGAACAACCTTCAAACATGTTAAAATAAATACTGTGTTAAGCCACAATAGACTAAGGGACTTATAGAATTAGTGAGATAAAAGTTCGTTGTTGATTTCGAAACTTTTTCCTGTGTGCGTATTTAAACCATGCTAATAGTGCACTCCCTACCCCGAACTGGGGTCTCATATCCCGCATAAACTTTTCAATTTGCGGGCCAGAAGTCTAAAATCCAAAAAAAATATCAAAAGCAAAAACCCAGATCCTTTATGCACGACAGATTTGCGCCTTGACCCTGCTCAGGAAGAAAAAAAAACAGAAATCCCACAAAAAAAACCAGTCAGCGGCAAAAACTTTGTGCAAATCGCGCTAGATTTACATAATTTTAAATGCTGGCTTATTGGTTTGTGTTTGTTTCCACAGCGGATCAGGCGGAAGATGGCAGGGGAAAATGGGCAGGCCAGGCCAGGAAGTTGGTCGAGTCCGAGTGACCCGGTCGAAACGTTTATTGCCATTTTGGCCTGGACTTTTTCTGTTGGCTTTTTGGCCGAGAGTGTGGGTTTTTTTTTCTTTTCGCCAGTTTTTTTTTGTGTCTGTGATAGCGACGAGGGTCCAATTTGCATATCTGATTAATATGAATACATTAGTTTCGTGATTTGGCACAGTAAACCAATAGAATTAAATGCGTTTGCTGATTGCAGAGACAAAGGTCAAGTTAAAGCTCCGATTCCCGACTCCGCCTGCCGCCGGAATGCCTTGGGGTTACTTAAATTCAATTAGCGTTTCCGCTGAACTCCTCATAATGCGATTTGCACTCGAAATCAGCGACATATAAAATATGCTTTTTGTTTGCGCCTGTGAGAGTTCTCCGCCTTTTTCCCATTTCCATCGGGAGACTCCAGACCGAGGCAGACTTTATAACTCGGAGAACGAGCAGCTTTTATTGAGGAAGCGACAAATTTATTTAAATTAAGTCGAAAATGCTTGGATGCTCGCTTGCTTGGATGCCTGGATGCTTGGCAACTTGTCTGCCGCTCATAAGTTTGCTAAATGTGTGGTAGATTTGACAATTATGACAGCGCAGAATGTAAGATTAATTCTGCATAATTTAGGGGGGTTTTCCGAACGGGGAGAAGTCGTGCCAGTAAACCCCATTATCGGGACTCCCTGGTCGTCTCTATTAAGTGGATTATGTTATTCTGTGTACCCAGGGGGATTTTGGGGATTTGGATGACCTCTATCCCGTCCTCCCATATCATCTCACTCCTCCAAATCTGTCGTCGAGAGAGCCTTTGCTGTGATTTATGTTGGGCAATTTTGTGCGGCGTAGCTTCATAAATTTTATTATCCTGCAATTGCAAAACCGAGTGCCCAAAGCATTCACCCTGCCTCGAGCTCCATCTTCTGAGTGTTTTTTTTTGGCTACTGTCACTCTCTTTTTTCAAGTTTATGGGTCAGCAAATTGTATTTATTGCCTACCCTCAATTGGCTGTTTAGTTTGATTTCAGCGGGAAGGAAAAAGCCAACTCTCTGATAATATCAGCTAAAAAGCCCTAAGCTAATCCACTTCGTCAAAAAGGATATTGTCAATCATAATATTGGGATTTTTATTGGCGATAAAACTTAAAATACATGTTCATTGCAATATTTGTTTTAATTTTTACCTAAAGCATTTTGGCAAACTGGAAATCATTTAATTTCTGAACAAAGCTGCAGCAAAAATATATTCCTTAAATGTAATGACATGTTGTCTTACATACATAACAAGTATTTAGTCATCAAAACACTCATTTGAGTTTAAAACAAAGAAATGAATGTGAAAATTATCAGCACCCACAACCCACTTATTTGAATGATGAAAAAATATGATTAGAATTCTTTTGAATAAATATACTCCAAGAATCATCTTTTAAAGACAGAGCATAAATAACAAAGAAAACCCCAAAATTCCAAAGGTATTAGTTTCCATTTCGTCGGTGAATCAATTGTTGATATGTTTACTAAGCCAGAGTTTAATCTAAACCTAAATCTGAAACCGGCCTGACTCACCGCAACGCCCTTCGTCACTGACCTCGCGCAAACGTTTAATTACTAATAGACGATTTCCGAGACCCACTTATTCCCAGCATTTCCGAGGAGCTAAGTGGCTGTTGACAGGTGGACCAAAACCGGCGTGCGACACTCATCCACATGGGACAATGTCTAAAATTAGCAAACAAATGGAAGTCAAATAGAAAAACACACACGTAAATAAAAGCAATTTGAAAAATGAAACCAGTTTCGGTTCGATTGGGGGCACACTCTCTCAGAGTCTCGCAGACTTATTTCAATTTCGTTTTCGGGGTTCCAATTAGTTTTTCCATTTTACTGCCCTGGAGCATTTGGTGAGTCTAATCAGGGACTGACTTTCGACGACGACGACGACTCCTAGACGCGACATAAATTTCATTTATTCCATTTGTCTTCATTGCCCGGGGCGACAACGACACCTATAGCAGCCGACGACAGACTTCGATAAATCAGGGCCAGGAATCGAAGGCAGCAGCCGCAGGAGCTGCTGCATTTGTCCTCCAAGGACCCCGGCTGATTTGTTTTTGCTTTACGGTGCCTGAAATACCCGATAATTGATTTTACAACATCCGCTCTCACCCTCAAGCGGGTAGAACAAAAGCATCCTTGTGAATTTTTCGGAACCGCGACAGCTTAGGCGAGTTTAAAGGCAGGTATATGCAAATGCGGTCCCGTCTAAAATTAAACCAAAAGCGCGAAGCCCAGTAAACAGGGATCAAGTAGATTGATATTTCCTGAAAATAACCTTTAAAGGGTAGGTAGCGCGCTGGAAATTCTGAGAGGGAGAGAAAGAAAATAATATGAGAGCTCAAAAAAAGAGAACAGCTACCCACAGACCCTCTATAAAGGAAGTATTTTAAAATACAGCTGAGGGAACAACAATAGTTCAAGGACTTTATAGTCATTTTTTAAGTGATAAACATTGTAGTTAGTTTACTTGATTTTCTTTCTGTAGTAAAACGCAATAGCTGTGAGTCAAATCAATAATGTATGTGATCAATTTTGTTTTTATCTAATCTACTCTAATCGGATTTTTTGGAAATACTTACTTGGTGATAACAGAGTTAGCAAAATAGTATTGTAATGTTTTTACGAGACTTAAAAAGTACTATAATGATTTAAGAATGAATGATATAAGTTAGTTGACTTATAAATTTCTGGATAAATACATTCAATGCTAGAGGTCTGAACTCGACTGTACGGGGAGAGGAGGTCTGCGATCCAGAGAGCCTGTGAGCAGGGTATTTGCTTCTGAATCACGTCCCGAAACTGCTCTCAGTTCGAGTTTAAACCACGGGACGCGAACAACGGAAAGTCCTGGCATAAAACCCATAATCGATCGAAAGACGGAAAAACTTGCCATATGAAGGACATGCCTTCCCAAAGAAACTAATTCAGGGAAAATATCATAATAAAACGCGAAAAAAGCAAAGAAAAGTGAACCAGTTCGCGTGACCAATGGAGCGTCGCAAGGCTCTCAGTTCGTATGCCAAGCTGAAGGATCAGCAGGAGGCGGCGGCTGTGGCAGCAGATATAGTGACGCCGCAGAAGGATACTGAGAGCGGCGACTCGCTGCCCGCCCTGCGCCGCTCTCACTCCGTCCGCTCCTCCCTGCGGCGGCTAAAAAACAAGCTACACAGTCCCGCCCTGCCGCTGCAGTCGCCCTTCAAGTGCGCACCCAGCTGCACATGCGCAGCCGAAGCTCGCGAGGATCGGCCCTTTTGGACAAGAGCAAGGCGGTCAAGGCACTGCGCATGCTGGGCGATCTGGATGCGGTAACCGTTCTGACCACCAAAGTCAAGGGAAAGAACGAATTTGTGCCACTGAAAAGGGAGATGCACTCGGATTCCTGTGACCTCGGGGAACTGGGCATTGAACGGCTTATGTCCTCATTGCCAGTGGGAGCAACCTGCCTCGGAAGGCATGCAAGTTGCTCCAGATCCCCGAGAGCTACTGCCGGCGAACGGATCGGGCGCCAAAAGCCACACTGGATTCGGATCTGGAGAAGACCTTGAGTGGTGAGGAATCCAGTTCCGTGCTGGCGGATATCACTCGACATGCCCAGCAGGGCATCTATGGAACTACGCGCATGCGCACAGCCACCATTCGGAAGCCGATGCCCTACCTGAACAGTCGTAGGTGTCCTTTATATCCTTGGAAATCAGACGTGTGGTCGAAATGCAAATGAAGGTTTCCGTTTTAAAGTATTTCTGCATGGGAAAACTTATTAAGGAGAAATTTTATTATATGTTTGATATTACTGTAAATCAGCCATATTCGGATTTGTTTTTGGCATTCTATTAACTCAGGTAGCTGAAATACTTTTGTGATAAAAGTATTCTACTTCAGAAAACAACCGAGTAATTTGTCAACAAATCAAATCACAAAGAAGAAACAGCTAAAAAAATGGGTTTGAATGGAATGTTGATTTCCTTTACCAAAGCCTCTCTTCTACCTGAATGTTTGTAGGTGCCCCTTTAAATCCTTTGAAAACATTAAAGTGGTGATAAAGTAGTTATTTCCTGTGGAGACCGAGTGAGATAAAAGTTTTTATAATACTATAAAAAACGGTTTGAAAGAGTTTATGAAGCGCAACAAAAGAAAGATGTTGGTATCGCCAAAAAAAAATATGCAAGTGAAACCGTTAAAGTGCGTTGTATGCAACTTTACTCGTACACTTCCTTCTAGCCAATAAATGCCACATTTGGTGCCAACTTGGCAAGCGACTTACAAAGTGATTCAGTGGGAGTTTATGTATATCTAAGTTATGTTTTGATGTCTTTGTTTGTGTTTTGCCCGAACTCTTTATTGCACATCATCAAGTTTTGATTTGGGATTTTTACTGCCCCATCAAGTAGGTCAATGAACTATTCCAAATGGTGTGTGTCATACACCAGGGAAAGGCAGCTGTGGGTCTATCTCAAGGGTAGGGTTTCCCAGGCCCGATATCTTCGTGCTTTATCATTACATCACAAAGCAATCTTAGTGACTCGTTTGCATTTGTCTTTGCCATGCATACCCATTTGTTTACCACCATCAGCGAAACCCGTAAAACGGGTGGGAGATACGAGATGAGGATGAATATTCATTTCCAAGAGTGTGCATAAACACGTAGATACGGGGTATATAGAGTATAGGCTGCACACATGTGAAGACAGTAAAAACTGGCTTAATCCATGGCCAAATCGGGTCGTTAATGTTGTGTGCTCTTGCAGATGCTACCACAGCGATAGCACCAAAGTCCCCAATATGCCGCAGAAGCTCCCGATGAGCAGTTGTCTGCGTTCTCCGGCGGTCTTCGTCCGTCAGAAATCGTTTCACACGCTCAACGAGCTGACCAGGTTCTGTCAATTGAAAGTCTCCCCACATCGGGGAGGTGCCACCACCACGACTTCATCACCGACATCATCATCATCGCCAGCAGCGGTGCAACAGCAACGTCGCCACAGCCACTATGCCATCGATGGTAAGAGATCGGTAGTTCTCTGGCTGCCCTTAACCCGTATATACTATATATACATATAGAGGAGAAGCCCCCATGAGGGGTAATTAAAAAACAGAGCCACACCATATCATCATAAATGCTCGCTCACTCAACAACCCACATATGTATCCGCTATAAGACAGCGAATTAAAGTCAATTGGAGGAAAATTGGTGGGTGGCTGGCTTCGTTGACTGGTGGGTGGGTGGTTGGGTGGGATTTCGTTAATTCGGATTCGGGTCCAGGTGGGTTGGCTGCTTCACGAAGACCTCACTTAACACACTCCACACACGCTCTAAACCAAAACTCACATACTTGGGCATAATTAATTTAATTGGCTTTGGTCATCGGCAAACTGCAACGGCATTTCCAAACTGCATCGAATAATAGCCGCGATGAATAGAGGGGAGAATGGCATTAATGTTAAATATTTTATTAATTGCAAGCAGAAACGACAATTATTGTAATTAAATTACATTTTCACTCACACACAACGTGGTGCTCCTGGTCATTTGCCATTGTAAATATTTGCATACACACATCTGCGTTTAATTTCTATTTATCCCTTTATTTGCTTTTCATTTTTGCATTTCATTTGATATCCTTTATTTATTTTTATTTACACAAATCACATAGACAACATATTGCCACAAGATAAACGTGACGGGGATACCGATAGTGTCAGGCTGCGGGAAAGGCGGTAAATCCGAGTGCCGGCAATAACAACCAGGACAACTACCCCACCTACTATCCGGCTCCATTGCTGTCCACCAGTCGCTGGTCGGAGCAGCTGACGCAGCATGCAACGGTAGCCAAGATACGGACAGCCATCTCCTGTCACTCGCAGGATCTCAAGGAAATGGAATTCCTCTTGCCTCACGCGCGAACCGACTCGCAATCCAATTCCCAATCCCAGCTGTGCATCTCGAGGCACTCGCAGCCCAAGAATGCCAAGCTACGGGATGATCATGATGAGACGGGTTCCTCCGAATTGGACTCACCTCCCCTGGGCGATGAGAATGCCTCGGCGAATGGTCAACTTTCGGTGCACAGGCAGCCGGTACAGCTGCGCAGTAAAATCCCAGGGAACACCCCTCATCCGCGGGCCAGCAAAATGTCCAAGAAACAGCTGAAGTTGGCCCAAGCCCAGCTGGACAAGCTGACGCAGAGCAATCTGCATTTGCATGGTAGGATTTATAGATACCAATACCTGGCACGCATCGCCACCGTCTCTTAACTTTAAAAAACTGACTATTAAACTTAAAAAGGTTTTCCACAGACCACTCATTTGGTTTTATTCTTCATTTTTTCACAGCTCTGTTCTCAGCGGTGGAGCATGGTCATCTGGAGAAGGCGAGAACTATCCTAGAGTCCACCGACGTAGATGTGAATAGGTTAGTCTAACTACTTCTCATTCGATCTAAATATATTCCAATAAATACATATAATTCTTTCAGCATCAATAACGACGGACTATCTGCTTTGGACCTGGCGGTTCTCAGCAATAATCGCTCCATGACCAGGATGCTGCTCCAGCATGGCGCCATGGAGGGCTCTCAATGTAGTGGCTTCTGGTTTCTCTTTCGACTGCTCTTTTCATCGATCAATCTCAATCCCCAGTTTCCGTGGACACCATGGCACGAAGCTGAACGGCTGCTCAAGGACGCCGAGTCGCGGATTCACGATCTGAGTGGACCGGAGGGTCTGTGCCCGCCCATGTTTGCATCGCGTCCCTCCATCTCGAGCATCATAATTGGTGAGTGGTGGCCATCGAGTCAATTTAAAGGGTGCACTTAATCAGAATCTGAATCTATTCCCGGCAGGCAATTCAAGCGCCTCGGTGACTGGCTGCACGGGTAGCGAGGTGGAAAAACAGATCGGCATCTGGGAGAGGCGGGTGAAGGGACTGCGCCGCTTGCAGCTTGGATGGGATCAGGCCAGACCACCAGATGCGCCCGCCTCCGTGGTCGTCGATGTCACCGGCGACAATTCCATCAGCGTCCAAATCCTGGAGCCCTTCGAGGGGGCCATTGGCACGAAATTCAAAGGTAAGCCGCAGGAACGTCAAGTGGCCGAGACAGTGGGATGTTCATGGGAATGGGATATGGGATTGTGGTTAGGCCGTCATGTTGTGGTTAAGAAGTGGTTCTTGATTCAATTCGCGCTGTTTGTCGGATTAAACGCTTCGTGTGTGAGGTGTCTCCTTTAGCGTTTAAGGAATATTAGCTTGTTACATTTTGAAAATGATAAGTATTAAGCATTTATTGTTATGCATCTGTGAAAAAATATTTGTTGTGTTATAATATAAAACCATCACCTGGTCTTGAGTTTCTCAGCAAGAAATTCTAGTTCTATAAATAACAAATCCCTGCCAATTATTTAAATTATTATATTAAATATTTTTAGGATTTTGTTTATACCTAGGCAGACCTATTACATGGAATATTAACTTTGAATATTTTCAGTTCAATGGTCAACTCGTGCGGACTTCAACAACGTTGTGGGCGAAAGTGAGTTACTGGAGTGGATCAGCTTCCATGGAACGATGGGCGGCCAGTGCCACATATCGGGCCTCACCCAGGGTCGACGCTATTTCCTGAGAGCCTCCTGCGGAAATGTCAAGGGATGGGGAGCCTATCGAACATCGGTGCCAGCTAGTGTGGTGCCCTCAAGTGAGTTAAAATTATTGTTTAAATAAAACCCTTTTAACTAAGTTCTCTTAAACAGCTTGGAGGGATTTGGACAATCGGGAGGATCGATTTGTGGGTCGCCATCGTATCCTGGACAATCTGTTTACCGCCGTGCGTTGGCTAGACCTCCGACGTCTCCGAACTGACCTTGGATCCCGCGAGCGCCCAACGGCGCAATCCTAAAAAGAAGACCACTATCAAGCAGTTGTTCTCGGTCACCTCCAAGTTTCAAAAGACACTAAGACGGTAAAAAATAATGGTTTGCAAATAATATTAGATACTAATATTTTCTTCTCCCCGAAACAGCGGTATCTACTTCTCTTGTATAATCCACTGCGATGACAAAGTGCTGGTCACCAGCGAAGACTTTCCGCCGGTCATCGAGGTGGATGAATCCTATCCCAGTGCCCTGCAATGGACTACTATGGCTGATGAAGGTGGCCTGTACCTGGGAGGATGTGAAGTCCCTACGTTCGGATATGGAGCGCAATCTCACCTCTGCCGTTCACTTCCGCACCAAGCTCCTTTCGGCCGTGTGTCAGATGCAATCGGCGCTGGGCATCACGGACTTGGGTCAGCTCTACTATAACCCCTGCGGGATGCCCAAGGAACCGTGGTGCTGACCTGTGTGCAATCGGTTAAGAGCCAAAAGGCCGTCTCCATCCTAAACTCCGTTGGCTGCCGGTTAGCAAGCTGCAGAAGAAGCTAGGTGCGCTGCACGAGGACTACACCATCAACGAGCTGCTCATCTCCTCCGTTGGCGATCAATTGCACTACCAACAGGCGGCACTACAGAGATTAGAGCCGGGACTCTACCTGGGCTACCTAAAGATGCAGTGCTCCATGGACCAGATCCAGGTGGTGGTTCCGGTGAAAACGCCGAATGTCCTGCCCCACTGCAAGGTGCGCGAGAACAGTCACATCACCGCCGAGGAGTGGCAGGTGCTCCACCGATGCAGTAGCGATCCCTACGTCTGCCCCTGGACTTCAGCTCTCAAGGAGTTGACTCAGCTTCCGGAGGAACAGCCACTACCGAGGTTCAGCGGTTATTTTTGTACGATCTCACCAATGCAATGCACAAACTGTTCGCCAGTATGAACATCAAGGGCGTCGAGGCAACCACTCACCGCCTGTACGATGTGGAGGTGATTGAGCACAGTCCGGACATAAGTTTCCTAGTGGTCTGTCCATCCGCCGAATCCTCGTGTGCCGTGCCCGGCCAGTCGGAGTTACTGCTCCAGAGAGATGATTTGGCCAGCTTGAGTATCCAGGCCTTTGAGATGATTCACCTGCGAACCTATCAGCCGGCCATCATTCAGAAGTACGCCCGCTTATCCTGCATCCTTGAACTGGACACTGCTCTGGCCACTCATTCGCTCCGGGAGGCTTTCTCCAGCAGCGAGCTACAGGCGGCCAAGGAGCGTTTGGCCACGCTGCAGGAGCTCAGTGCAAGCCTGACGATTGTGTGGAAAAGTGTCCGGTGGCTAATGGATGTGGTGGCCTATGCGAGGAACAAAAATGCCCAACCCTCGCTGGCAATGCGAGAAATCCTGGATTTTGCCCAGCAGCGACAGGATGAGTCGGTGGCGACATCGGCGGCGGGTTCCGCCAGCAAACAGCTTCTACAGCTGCCCATCCGCGAGAGCAAGTTTTCCAAGACGGGTCAGGGAAGAGGCAGTTGGCCAGGTCCAGGAACCAACGAAGATCCCACGCAGCGTAAGCCGGAGCACTCCAAATCGGAGCAGAACCTGGAATTGAGTGTTATTACTCCAGTGGAACCTGCCAGCAAACAAGTTCCTACACCACAGCAATCTCAGCAGCAAGCGCAGAGCAGCAACAACTCCAGCAACAACAACTTCTACAAGTGTCCACCACCAGCGAATATGCGGGCTCCATTTGCTCAGAAGTATCCTTCCGGAAGAACAGTGGCGACTCCATGAGCTCCACCTACACATCCCGCAGCTTCTACTCCGCCGTGGACTCAGCCTCGGATGGAAATAGCACAAACAGTGTGTTTGCCATTCCACCTTCGCGTTCCGATGACACCTTAGCGGATGCACTGCGTCACTCGCAGGCGGTGGCTGCTCAACGCAAGCGAACCAGCTCCAACATCGGTCCCCAAACCAATCCTCTCATCACGGTGCACAGCTCCAGCTCGGCTCCGTATCTGGCTGGATCCAGCGTATCCTTGAGAAGCGGCAATGGAGCCTTTGCCACAGATTTGGAACACAAACCACTAAAGCCGACAAAGGCATCCTCCAGTGCCAACCTTCGCGAGGGTGGACCCTATTTGAAAAGCACTCTAGCCGAACTGCGAGCAGTGGGAGGCGAGGAGCCGGTGGCGAGTACCTCGAAGGCCTCTTCAATGAAGAGCTTGTCGCGGCAGAGCAGCGAAGAGGACTCCGCCAGCTGTTCCAGCCTCAACGCAGAACAGGCACCGGGGATAATTCAAGTGTACACCGCTTACAATACGGGATTGGCCAGTGGAACCAGCCTGAAGCTTCACGTGACACCCAAGACGACGGCCCGTGAAGTGATCAACCTGGTGGTGAAGCAACTCAACATGGCCGTCGTGCTCAAGGGAAACAATGGGCCCATCTACAGACCTGAGACGCTGGAAACTTTTGCCTGGTGGCGGTGATTGGAGCACGGGAACGCTGCCTGCGAGATGACTTTAAGCCGTTGCAGTTGCAAATCCCTGGAAAAAGGGACGTCTGTACGTCCGACAGAAACATGAGCTACTGGCGGCCATCGAGCACTCCAACCGGAAATCGCATTTGATCTGAACAACCGGAATTGGCGAACTATCGAAGTAGTGAAGCTTTTTATACGGTTGGTGGTGACAATGAGATCTCTAGAGATTTAAAAACTTAAGATGTACGTGCCGAAACTCGGCGAATAACTCATTCACCACACCCTTAGTTATTGAAACTTCAGAGACTTATCTGAAATCCGGGATTTTTGTATCATTCGTTCCGGGTCTTGTAAATTATGTTGTGTTTTAGATTTTGGGTTCCTCCAATCACAAATCCCAACTCCTCCCACCCTCTTCAGGGCAATGATCGTTGACCAATTCCCGAATTAGACTGAATTACTTATGTATGCTGCAATGGCAAACTGATGAAATTGTATTTGAAATGGTATTATATTTTGAGTAGTTATACATTCTACATTACCCAAACAAACACACACACGAATCGGACTAAGCAAAAACAAATTGTTGTTAGTTGTTCTAGGGTATACAAGGTTACGCCCGTACATAAGTAGTATGTATGTTATATAAATATTATGCGTGCATCAATGTATTTTATTGTATGTATTTTGTAGTTTAGTAAACAAATGTTTTGATTGTATTTTTGTGGCATTTTTAGGGGCACATTTTTTGATCTAAATGTTAAATCGGTAAATACGGAACACAAAACCAAACCAAATCGATGGCGATACTCAAAGAACAGATGTCAATATGCATTTTAAGTGTCACTCTTGATGTCTTTGATGTGTGTGTGTTCTTAAATATTGCAATTCCATTGGATTAAACAAATAATTTATGTGTAATCAATTGCTTAGTATGTAAACAAAAAATCACCGCAACACAAATGATAACGAAAACGGAGAATATTTTTTAAAAATATATTGGCACAACTGAATGTTGAAAAAAAAAAATAATAGGCAACTGCAAATCGAAATTAAAACGTTTGTATTTATTAATTGTAGCAATGATATCTCGAAGTCCGACCCAATCTACTCCACACAGCAATTGGCTCGACGAGCTTCCTATTGATAATCCTATTCCCCATTTCCACAATCTACTCAACTGTTGGCCCACTTAGAACCCATACTATTAACGTGGCTATCTCAATGTGCAAAGCCGTATGTGTCTATAAATAACTACTCTACTCTGTACTCTCTCAATAGGAAATACCATAAGTAAATTAGAGGAAGTTCTTCAGATACACGTATTTGTTGTAAACCGGTAGACAAAGAAACAGTTTCATTGTCAAGCTCATGATGTCCCAATTAAAGTTTATTTTCATTGGACGACAATGTCGAATTTAGATTGGAGTCGCAGGTCGTGAAAAGTATACATTTTGAATCTTATGAGAAACTAGACGAGAACACTTACTTTAAAAGAATGTGCAACACAGAGTCCATAACAAAGATATCGAACTATTTAAGATGTCTACGACCAACAGACGATTTTTGTACGTTTTATTTCTTGGTTTTTGAGATGGCGATAAAGACGATTTTGATACATTTTTACTCTATGGTTTACCAGTCCTAGGGCTCGACAAACAGCAACGAACGTAGCTAAGTTTTGACCACAGAAAATACCCAAAAAATATAAACCCCCTTGCGTTCACAGCCCGGTTTCAGATTTGCCTCAATTCGAATTTTGAATGGTCCCCAGAATGGTCGAACGAACAACGAATGTAAACAAGTTACGAATCCAAACTGAGTGGCCAGTTTCAGTTTGTTAATTCGGAATGCCAATTAAACGATTTCAATTGTCAGACACAGCGTCCGTCCCCAGAGAAAAAGAGCGTTTGGTTTTCGAATGGAGCGAAATTATACAGAGTATTATTTTGAATTGCGATCTAGTGAGATTAGTTTTTACGATGCAATCTAATTGTAGCTGTAGCTAATTGTTAATGGACTATTAAAATGCGAAATGTAAATGTAACCAAAAGCATTGAACGAGTCTTTCCGCATATGAACATGAAAACACATCAAAATGCAGACAATTCCTGTAATTAGATATAATAGAAGACGAAACTTATCAAGTGTAACTCAGACCCGATGTCAGTACATTCATTATCGGCATTATCGACTACCTGTGTACATTTTTGGTGTGTTAATGGCCTAAAAATATATACGATACACTCCGAGTAAGGAGCAAAAAAGAGGGCAACTAGCTTTGGTAAGGATAATGTGGGTTCGAGGCATTCAAAGAATATTCAATTAACCTAATAAAGACTCAACAAATGTTATGGTGTAATTCCAACGGCTTGTTTTGCATTTGACGCGGGGGTGTTAGAAATTTCTGGAATCCAGATAAATTAATGATATACAACTGAAAGTGCAAAATCATTCTGGTAAGTCAGCCGGAACATAATGATGGGTCGCATTTTGTACTGGAAGTGGTTTTTATAGACCCGCGTTACGTATACGCCCGGTGTGGTGCTCGGCTGATCAAGGCTTATCAAGCGACACTGCACTTACACTACGATTTGTCTTACAAAATGGCAAAAAATAGCTAATAACGATAACGAGCTGATTACGCCCGCTACAGCTATAGCATTTCACCAGCTGCCAAGATAGTGTTTGATGGGTTGTCTGTATTCCAGAGCCTTCTTCCAATGTTTCGATTGTTTGGGCAACATGTTGCTAATGTTTATTTTGGAGGCCGATGCGTCATCGCACGTATGGATAGCCATTTAGTGACGAAACGAGCCCGGAGCTGTAAAGATCGGTAAACAAGTTATATTGAGTCAGTTTCAGCTATCTATCGCAACTTATTCTCTCTTTCCATTGGGGGATTTTGGAAACATACAAGTCATTCTAATAGGAGAAACAACGCGATAAGTGCGCTTATTGTTTGTATTTCTCTTGCCACAACACTCCCATCTATTTATATGAGTTTCCAGGTACTTTTATTAAGATACACACATTTCTAATCGGCCACATGGTCCTTGAACTTTGTCCCCGAAATTACATGTTCCCTTTCGCGCCCACCTTTCTGGCCACGCTCATTAATAATCCATTCGTCCACCAACTTCAATTAAATGCCCCACTTACCGCATTTCCACCTCCGTCCCAATCTCAAATCTCAAATCTTGACTCACTCCAGTCGTATACGGCCACTGTAAATTTCCCCAACTGATTAGTTTGTGAGTTTGTTGCATCCGGACAGATTTCTCATATTTTTGGTTATTATTTCCATTTATTATTGCGGGATTTATGGCCGGTGGTTGTAGCACCTTTTGCCCGTGCTGATACCATCTAAATCACCAGTTATATATTTAATATATCTGCCGTTCTATACAATACTCTAATCAACTGCGGGCCTTTTTTCTAATTGTTTTTTGTGTCGTATGGACAGGCGAGCGGGTCAGCCACGTGATCTGGCTGGGTCGTCGGGCGAGACGCGTCTGCCTTTAATTAGATTTGAGTCCACCAGAAGCGGAGGCCTAGACAGCCCTAGACAGCGATTAGCTGGGCAAATAACAAGCCACTACAAGGAAATCGGCAAGCGCACTTGTCGGCGGCGACCAGAGCATATAAATTACACCAGCTGGACGTATACTTAATTTGTAACCGAGGCATTCAAACCGGTTGGGGTTCGAATCGCTGACCCCCGGCAGCTGCTGGCCAGTGACACACAATAGCCAATTGTCGTTTTTGAAACGCTTTATGTTCAGAATAAGTATTGAAAAATCGTTTACAGTAAAATCAATCGATCGGCTCCGAATCCTCAATCTGGGTTTTGTATAACAAACAATAAGTACACCACTGTACACAGCATACATTACAAACATTAAAACTATAGCCTAGCATCTGGGTGTGGGAGTTACTAAAACTAATCGCTGGATCGCGAGGCGCCCACGATGTATCCCTTGGCGGTGAGGACGCCTCGGCAGCGGACGTGCACCTGGTAGCGCAGTGACCAGTCGATTGTGTAGCCGGGCGCCAGAGCGGCGAACTGCTCCTCGGGCAGAAGGAGCTCGGGATCGCTGTGCGTGTTCAGCTGGATGTCGTGGGCGGTGCAGAACTCCTGCAGTTCCGCTGGCACAACGCAGCAGGTGGACAGATTGACCTGGGCAATTGTGGGCGCCACCTTGGCGCTCTTGTGCAGCTCCTCCAATGCTGCCGCATCCAGATCGGCTATGCCCAGTTGGGTGATCTGCTGCTTGAGGGCGTACTGCTCCAGGGTTTGGTAGAGCTCCTTCAGCTCCGCCACTCCCTTCTCTCCATTGCGCTGGCTCCAGTTGCTGGCTTTGCTGACGACAATGCCTTCAGAGCAGGGCGACTTGGCCGGCACTCCGGCTGTTGTGGCCACCGGCGTTGCGCTGGCAACCGCATTTGGGTGGTAGGCCAACACCACATTGTCCACGTGCGTCACACTGAGTATGTTGAGCAGTGCCTCGACCGCCTGATTCACACACTCCGTGGAGTGGCGGTTGAGGAATATCTTAGCGCCGATGCTGATCTCATTGCGGCCGTTTTCCGTCAGCCGGGTGGTCAGCTCCTGGGTGGCCCGCTGCACACGGCCGTGCAGCTCGTCGATCTCCTTTTCCACCACCACGCGTTCCACGGTGGGGTCGCTGTGGAGCGTTATCTTTAGGCCGTCGTACAGCTCCTCGTTCGACTTGCGCTGGCCCAATTCCGTGGCGATTATGTTGCCCGTGCTGATCACCACGTTCTGGTACTGCTTCGTTATGGTCGGTATCATGTTGACAAGTGTTCTTCTTTTTTGGTATCGGCTATTCTGCTAATTCCGCTGCCGTCAAGACAAGTGCAGCCCTCTCAGGTGGGTGAAACGCGTGTGTTCTCGAGCACCGACCGCCTGGCCACTTAAATACACTTTGCACCGAAATGGGGAGAGAACGACTATCGCGGAGAGTTGGTGGCGAGCGATAGTCGATAAGCCGGAGAACTTGCTATCGATGCATCGCAAGGGGTGCACTAAATAAGCAAATAAAATTTTAATTAAAACGTTGTTTTTGTGCATTAAATTAAAATATATTTTGGAAAAATTATTTAAATATAATACATGGATGCCCTCCTTTTTCGATTAAAATTCATAGCCTAAATGTATGAAGGAACTACTTTTGTTCTATTATAAACTTAATAATAAGCCTTTACATTAGGTATAAAACCGAGTCAAAATTATGAAACGTTTAAAAACCTGGTGATAAATTATAAAATATTTGAAGCCCCATGAAGAACCGATACATTTGTTTAAAAATGCCATACCTAACCAGTTTCCTAACGGTCGCGAGCTGTCAAAAGTGACAGCTTTCAAAACATCACAGCAGGTTCGAGGACATTTATTAAAACTCTAGCGGCAAGAATCAAAACTCTGGGATGTGTCGACGAGCCGTACGCGAGTGGCTGGTGCTGCTGACCATGGAGAAGTACATCGGCAAGTTCCTGGGAGGAGGCTACGACAGTATTGCGAACTGTAAGCTTATTGTGGGCAGCGATCTACTCATGCTGGGAGTGGATGATGCGACGCATAGAAAGCTCTTGCTCGATGGAGTGCAGTTTCTGATCAACGCGCCCGAAAGATTCATCTGCACGGAGCCATGCGAACTTCATCACCATCTCGAATTGAATGTGGATCCTAATTTTGCCTCCTCAAAATGCCTGGAAAGTTTTGATTTCCTGAAATCCCCGAATAGAGAGGACGATGACCCTCTCATGGGGCCTTTGGATTCACCAAAGACGGCCAGAAGGGCTTTAGATCACGAGTTCGACGATTTGGATTTGGATTTAGGGGAAGATTTACATTTGCCATTGGATAGTATTACTTTAGAAAAACTACTCGATGAGGATGATCCGCTCTCAGTAATTATGTCCGACTAACACAACACAATCAAAATGCCAAATTAAGGATAGCTTTATATTTCAATGTATTCACAAGATGTGACTGCCATGTTTTTGTTAGACTGAAACCAATAAAATGGTTAAGAAAATCAAATATGTACCTTTAATTCAGCTTTAATAATCTTTACATATGTATAAGAACCAATAAAACAGTGGAGACCACTCGGAATATTTATTTGTTCTGATTTCTTAAATATAAATTACCAACAAAGCGTTCATGTTTTAAATGCCACGCTAACAGAGAGGACGATCCTCATGTATTTTAAATAAATAATATTTATAAAGACCAATACAAATTGGTGAGTTGATGCCAAGGAACTCACATTCCTTGGAGTCTTTCAATGGGAAGTACTTTACTTAAATGTAATTAAAGGATTCAACAAAGCATTAAGGAAATACTTGATGCCCCTCATCAAGTCCTGAAGACGAGCATCCATGGGCGACGCGGCCACCACTCGTTCAATACTGGCCGTTCCCAGATCCGGCGACCGACAGTTGACACACTCGATGGTTTTCAGTTGCACCTGCACGCTGTCGGCCAGAAGTCGTGAATTATGCAAGGTTCCGTAGAAAGCCACAACATCGCCTTCGCTCAAGAGCCTGGTGAAGTTTCCAAAATCATGGTGAGCTCGTAGGATAACATCGGTGGATGTGGAAGTGGAACGGCCCAGGAGCCGGCTGGTCTTTTTGATGCCTACTTTCACCAGCAGCTCGTATTCGTACCGATTCCACCGCTGCAGTGTGCAACTACCGCTTTGCGCCTTTAGCGTCTTGATAACGCTCCGCCACTCCTCGCACTGGGCATCTAACTTGGGATCGCACCTGAAGTGCTGCGATATTTCTCGCCGTGCACACAGCGCAGCAGCCTGCCCAGCCACACGGGTAGATAGTTGGCAATGACATCCTCCAGAATGTTGGACACCCGCGAGATCTCCACTTTGGCGATACTGCCCTCCCAGGTCACTGGCATTCCATTTAGATGGGAGCAACGTAGCTGCGCTTTGATCTTGTTCGGCTGCTCGTTGACTGGTTGGGCACAGAGAGCGTGAAAGCGATCCCATGGCAGGGTATCCGTCTCGGAAAGAGAGTGTATACCCACTCTGGGCATGGCATTGAAGCGGGGTGTATCCTTGAAACTGGACGTCATGTAGGGAAAGACCAACAAGCAGGCTGTTGTGACCGCCACAATGAGCTAGAAGATTATTGGTCCTTATTTTGTCATTCAGAAAATGGCATAGTTCTTACCTGCAGCATAGTTATGTATTTCTGGGTGGCTCGGTTCAGGCTAGTACGCAGGACAGCACCACCACCAGCCCGCAGGCGAGGGCAGTGCTGCCCCAGCGCAGTTGCTCGCTGGCCAGTCCCAAACTGTCGATGCCACGAAGACAGGCACAAGAAGAGCCACGATTCCAAATAGCGGCAGGAACAATACAATGCCGGCCAAGCCAAGGGCTGCTCGCATCACTCCAACATGGTGCACTCTGCGACGTAGCGATGCACACCTGCAGCCAACTAAGCGTGACGCAGTGAGGAATTAGGTATGTGTAGACTCCATGCCAGCGGGAGCGTTTGGCCAGCATCACCAACAGCACGGAATAAATAGATACAAGGCGGTGCGGCAATTCAGGCAGAACTCAATCCCATTGCCAATGACAAAGGAGGAGAAGGTGGGTACACGTAGATCCAGAAAGCGCCAGCGCGTGGACACAACCTCGTCCATTTCGTAGGGATACTTGGCAAGCACATTCACGGCAAAGGATACTATCACAAGCCAGTCAGGCATTAGGTGGGAGGAGGCGTACATGGACACGCCCATTGTGAGGAAGGTGAATGCTCCGGAAACAATGGTGAGCTCCGAGTGCGGCAGCCAGGCGTCGGTCACCAGCGGATACACTATAAGGTTGCAGATGAAGGCACAAAAGTAATACAGGTACGGCTTCATATTGTTGCGCAGAAAGCGCTGCTCCGCAATGTCCGCCTCGATGTTTGGATCTCCGTAGCTAAGGAACAATCCCGACCAGATGCGGAAGTCCACGAACTGCTGTTTGGTCTTGAGCATCTTACAAGTGGCCCAGATCATGATGCCCAGACTGAGGTAATAGCTGGCCAAGGGCAGCATGTGGCGGGTGCTCCACCAGGAAAGAGCCACAAGGACACTGCAACGGACGCTCAGCGGTATGACGTTGGGAATGGACACAATCAGGTTGAGCAGCGGTGGTAGAACAGGGTGAAGAAATGAGCGGGTGGAAATCATGCGGTAGAAGCAGGGCACGTGGTCCAGACTCCTCGGATCTGGCACGGACAATGTGAGAGCATCATTAACGCTGGGCATCTGACCGGCACTGTAGTTGGAAGCAGCCGAAACAAGGTGGGCTTCGGTGATGAGGCGTCGTCGTTCCACATTGGCAAGGCCAATTGTGTGCACATCTTCGAGAGGTTCGCACTCCGGCTCGGCATCCTGTTCTCCTTCGCTGCTCGACGAGGATCGGTCATCGTCGCGTCGACGCCTCTTGCGCTGCAGATTATAGATTCGGCGCATCTTGCGCTCTAGCTGCTTGGGCGTGATGTGCTCATTGCCATTTGACAGGCAGGCAAATAGCTCCCGGGCTGCTTTTCTCGCCGCACGTTCTCCGGGAGTCATGGCCAAACAGCGACGCACTTCGTCCGCATTCTCCGCCGTAATGCCGCTGCCATCGTTGTAGCATTGGCGAAGCAGTTTCGCCGCATCTTCGTGTCCATTGTGGGCAGCACTCACTAGCCAGTTGACGGCCTTCTGGTTCTGATTGCCTTTGGCAAGATTGGGCTCTGTATGGAACAGGGAAATTATATTTTGATTTTCTGCCAGGCTCCTCCACTCACCTATGGCATTGTTGAGTAACTCCTTGGCCAGATCGTATTGCATCTGGGGACATCCCTCATCGGCAATGTGATGCTTCAGTTTGTTCAGCGAGGCACGATCTGTAAGGGAGTACAGCTCCATGTTTGGAACGTATTTCATGACAGGCTTTGAGATTTACCTTCCAGATTCCAACGCCTGCGCTTCGTGACGCCTGTCGGTTCATTTTGTGTCCAGGTGGCCATTTATCTGGAGTATTTTCGCTTTGTTTACGAAAATCTATGAAATAATTCTCAGCCCGACTTGACAGAGATGGCATCGTGTGCCCACTTCTAATAGGGATGGGCGATGGCAGACACGAAAGTACAAAATACAAAAATTATAAAAAAACTAATCAAAATTAGGATTAAAATCATCATCAATTTACTTAATTTTTGAAAATTAAATACGTTTGGATTTTAAAATTATTTTGGACCACAATGTCGTGACTTTTAATCGATAATTTAAAAAATGCTTACCCCTGTGACTTCGATATTGCGCCACTGACTATACCTATCGATACGCACACATGCCGGCTAGATTGTTTTGTGAAAAATAATTGTTTATTTATTTTTAATAAGTGATTTTAAAGCAACCACCTGCACAAAATAATGGATAGAAACCTTCAGAAGCAACTATACGGCGTGTCGCGAGAATCTTCTCCTGGTTTACGGAGATATAGCATGCCAGCGGCTTCGGCGGACAGCACGCGAAAATCCTTTTTTGGCGGCAACGCCGGTTGTGCCCAGCTGCAGGGAAACTTCAAAAAGACTGCCCTGAGCAACAGGTAGGTGTTCCTCACCCACTTTGGACTTCTTCTGATGAAAATATTCCATTTCCAGCCGGCTCGTCTCGTCAGTGCGCTCTACTCAGTCCATTCCCGGCATCCGGTCCGATTATAATGTAGTCGAGAGCTTTGGTTGTCCACTACCCGTGGTGGTCAATGAGGCGCTTACCTTTGCGGGACCGGGAGCGGGCACAGTTACTGCCAAGGTGACCCAAAATGGATGGGCTTGGGTAAGAAGTCAGAGATCCACATCCATCAGGTTCACCAAGTATAGTCTTCCAGGTTGTTCAAGGCAGACGCCTATTGATTTGGCAATACAAAGACACGACCAAGTCCGGCTCACCACCACGTGTGGGCAAACCTGCGAGGCGTGGCGGTGGCCTGGCCCAATGCCGGGAGTTGACTCTGCCCTACAGCGACCTGGGTCACAAGAGTGATCTGATTAGCGTTTTCCAGACGGAGGGCCAGCAAATGGCCTCTTGTATTGCGGTGTCCGCCACCGGAGAAGTTCGCTACTGGTCGTCCATCGCACATGATGGAAACTCTGTGGATCTCTCGATCTTAACCGGTCAGGAGTTTGTCCAGCTGCTCAGTCTACCAACGCAGCAGGGTTACCTAGCCGTAACCACCACCTGCAATCTTGTGTTCCTACGAGTGGGTCTTACCAATGGCCGTTACACACTGCACCATAAGACCATCAAGCCTGCTACGAGCTTTCTGGGTGGCTTTGGCAAGAAATTTGCTTCCATTTTGATTGGTATGAACACGGGTGGAGACAAGGATCAGGTTAGTATCATAATTTAACCATTTCGAACGCTTTTTAATTGGTTGTCTTTTATAGGTTTTAGTTGGCATGTGCTGCGAGAGCGATTCCGAAAGTGGAGAAACAGTTGTGGCCGTGCTCTCGGATCGTGCAATCCAGCGCTGGAGTCTGTCCAACAAGGGCAACACCGAGAATCTTATTTACGAGGATGGGGAAGTTGTACGCAGGATACGTGAAGAGTTCAAAACAAAGTTCTGGAACGTACGGCTCCCAGCGGATAATGTGGAGATTGATCTGTATCTGCTAGACTTCCACTTGGTGAAGGACAAGGCCTATATACTGGCTGGAGCTGTGAATGCTGCTCATGCTCCACAAATGTGCTACGCTCTGGGTAAGAATAGGCTTGTGACAAATATTAGTCCAGAAGTAGTATAAAAAATATATTTTCAGTAACGGGAAGTGCTCAACCGGAAAGTATGCTCCTAGAGTCGTTCACACCGCTCAAGATCAATAAATTCTTCAGTGCCAAGACTGAAGAGGATTGCCTCAGCCTGCGTTTCGTGGTAGGCAGCAGTCACATCTATCTGTACACGCCCAAAGTAGTGTATCCCCTGCACTTGTCTAACTCC